ACTCACTTAGCACCCCGTTCCTCCCTCTTCATGACCTTTCTTTTCACTCAGCAAAATTATGAGAAACTCAAGAAATATTTGTAAAAAACTTTATTTTTGTATACTTTCTTTAGGATGTCAGTCCATTTATTGAGAATTCTTTATTATGTTTGATATATTTTTTGTTAGGATAGTTTTAAAATGAGACTTAAAACTAAATAAAAATTGTCGATATTTTTAATAAACAAATTATTGTATCATTTTATTGAATGAAAGAAACTATATTTTTTGTATCCTTTCTTCCCTTAAATTTTAAACTTGTGCTCGATTCCACTGATTTTTTTTTAAATTCTTGGACGGACAACCATATTTTCAAAGGATTGAGACTAAGTAATGCAATTTCCTGAGTGTGCCGCAAATTGCGTTTGCGAGCGGGCTGCGCTGATGAGCTCTGTGCATTGCATACTTCGTGGCGCAGACTTTTCAACCTGCCACGGACGCCGCCCATCAGTTATTTGTCTCGCGTGGCATTGTTTGTCTTGCGAGTTGGCTCTACATTCGCGAGGCAGTCGCCTCATTTGCCACCGCCTCTTTAATGTGTGGGTAAATGCGACAAAATCAAGTTAACTGTCAGCATTAACGTGCATGCAACGAGAGCGAAACTTTCGACGCGACTTTGCCAACTAACTGGGTTTGCAGCGCAAATGAAATTTGCCAAAATGTCTCCCTGCCATCAAATTATGCTGCCATCAGGCGGATTTTAAATCAATTGGCGGCGAGGCTGCGTGACAAATAAACCTAAGCGGAACGACCACACTGCGTATGCGCAATCTGCAGCAGTGGAAGCTGTGGCAGCTGCCCCACACGCTGCTACTGAGCAGCCAAAGCGATTAGGTCGCCCTGAACGTCACACGACCACGACCCTTTGTGTGGGGCATTATCTGCGTGGCTACTTGAGCGAGTCAAAGGGGCACTTTGATCTCGACCACCCATCCCACTACCACCCACCCACCAACCACCTGAGATTGAACCAATCTCAGCTTCAATCCAACACTGGACGAAAAATTTGGACACCTTAAAGAGGTTATTTAAGTTGGTCAAAGTTAGAACAAGACCCTTCGAAATGGATATTATCGGATTGCATAACAGTTAATAAATAATTAATAAAAAATAGGTTTATTTTCAAAGATAATTATTTATAATAATTTATGATTTAAATTCAACCTATTATTTATGTTATTAATGTTTTAGTCTAAAATTGTTTAGTTCACCTTTGCGATTGGCAATTAAGGCTTTCCTACACTTGTTGGTCACTTTAAACTATTTATTATTATTTTATTAAATATAAAATACAACATGACTTTCAGAAAGAAAATCTTCTTAAAAATATTTGTAATCAAATTATGAGCTATGCAACTTTCAAGTTTATGTGGTTATCTCTAATGATTCGCATTAAAATATATTTATAAGCAGCTCAACAAATTGGGATTTAAATTAATAGTTTTGTGTAAACTATTTAACATTTCTTGAATTATGTAATCTCTCCAATTAGTCTTTAGGGCATTAATTATTATGCATTTATATTTGCAGAGCTTTATTGCAGTGCAATCTTGATTGCCTTCGGCCATCAGGCTCTTCATGTTGTGGTCACTAAGCAATGGATATGGACACCTGATTGAGGGCGAAGCACTTGAAGTTTGCATTTGGCCATAATGGCGGATGCAGCTAATGCACTGATTAGCCAGGTTTAGACACACACACACACACACACACACACAGAGACGGGAGCATGGGCATCCTTTGAGTTCGGTGCGAGTATTTCCAATAATTAAACAATCCCCAACTGGTGGAGTGTAGACTCCCCCACTTGAATCCATTGAACCGCACCGAATTGCATTGAATTGAATCGAATTCAATGGAGAATTCGGCAGAACGATGGGGAACTTCAAGTGAGTGGCATGTTGCACTCTTTAACTGGATTTTGCCGGCAGGGGTTTTCCGCCACCCACTCACTATCGGTGGCCACACTTTTTTCCCGTGTCGTTGCAAATCAATTTATGCCCGGCCAACGTTTGAACAATTTCTGTTTCTGTTTCGGTTTCTGTTTCGGTTTCTGTTCCGGTTTCCGTTTCTGTTTCGCTTTGTGCAATTGACGGGCCAATAATTAAGCCGGAGTCCAGGGAAAGCGATCGGAAAACGCATGGAAAACCAAATGTACCTCCTTTCCTTGTGGCATCTGACTGGGCCGGTCATGTGGCACGTTCTTATGACTCTGCTGACGTTGCAAAGTCAATATCCTTGCTTATTTAAATTTCAAAGCAAATGACAGAAGGTGTTGTTGTGCTGCCGCAAACTGGATTAAATTTCGTTTAAAATGTAAATGGAAAAAAGCGTGATAGACAGGTTCGGCTTTCCGCCTGAATCGTATCCAAATTGCGTTTACAACGGCGAAACATCAAAAAATGCGAGAGGCACCGAACGCAGGCAAAAACTAAACAAACACCTCATCAAAGAACATCAAAGGCCGCCCCAAAAAATAAGAACAGGAAAACCCCAACAACAATAACCAGGAGGGGAGAAAAATCAAAAACGTAAAGAAAAGAAAAGGAAAGGAAACGAAAAAAAAGGTGGGACTGGGGAAAGAAAAGCATTTTGGTGTGCACGACGCAGAAAATAAAATCAAGAATTTCACACCTTATCAATTTTGCTAGATTAACAAAACGAACAATGGGGTGGTGGGCCCTTCCTCCACCACCCACACCTGGCTGGGAAATTGCAACATCAACGTCCTTGCCACATTGTGATCGACATCATCATCGTCATCGTCATCGTGCTCTGGATGCAGGGAAGCCGCCGTCGCCACACTTTGTCATTAAGGAAGTCAAAAACTTCGACCCCAAGAGGGGGGAGGTTGGGGTCTGAGGAAAAGCAGGGGATGTTTCCCCCCCCCATGTCACTCTCCGGAAAAGTCGGAGAAATGGAGAAAGCGAGGGAGAAATCGGTTTGGCTTTGTGTGACAGCAGCGTTGACATTTATTTTGATTTCAGTTTCGAGTGCAAGCCCTAAGTGGGTGAACTTTCTATTTCCCTTCATCTGTTATCCACTCCAACCTGTTTAGCACCCCCTGCCCTTTCATGCACTGAAAACAAAATAGCAACAACATTCTTTCTATATTTCAAAAGTTTTAATATAAAGACATTTTCCTTTTTTTAGCTTAATAAGATAAATTTTCATAAAAGCAATTAAAAAAACAGAAAAATAAAACGATTATGAATATTTTAAGAACACAGTTGAGTTTTCTTCGATATAAGCCAAATATTTTCTTTTGAGAATGTGTAATTAAAATCTTAAACTATTAATTATCATGTAGGCGAATTGCAATTACAGTTTGGATATATTTTTTTAATATTATATCTTAAAACTTAAATGAATTTTTTTATAACTAAATACCTAATAAAACTTTAATCAATTTTTTGATAACTAAATACCTGATAAAACTTTAATGCAATTTTTTTTTTTAGCTAGATATTTGATAAGGCTTTATTTTCTTTCTGTGCACCCATGCTAATGTGCATCTTGGCTTAGCTTTTCACCCCAGGGATGGCCTTTTTACTTGGTGTCGCTGCCACTAAATTGAATTTTATGTGGCGAATGCCAACTTTGATGTGTGCCTTTATTAATGGTTGCTGGGAAGTGTCAGCCGGTTGCAAAAAATGAGCCGGTAGGGGGAAAATTGGGTCTAAATCAGCACTGATAGAGCGTCGGCGGAGAGTTTACGGTAATTGCAGGCCAAAACAGGGGCGAAAACTCTGAACCGGGCATGTAAATTCAATGAAATATGGCTTGCAAAAATGTCTCGCACAAGCAACGCCTCAAAATGCCAGCAATGCGATGTCCAGTCGTCCCGGTGGCCATCTGAATATCCGAACATCCGACCATGTGGCCATGTGGCCATCGAGCAGCAGCTTGGCATTCCAGGCATAACTTCTGGGAGCAACGAGCAGACGAGCATATGTAAAAAGCGGAGCCAGCCAGCGACACATAAGTACACACGACACACGAACACACATTGCTGGCGGGTTTCCATGACATCAAAAAGAAAAGCGTGCTGAAAAAAATGGAATGGAAAATCTAGCCTGGCCAAGTCTCTAAATTGTGTGGCCCTAAAAGTGTCCAGCGGCACATAATGCTCAAAGAGTGTGCACTTAAAATAAAGCCATAGCTTTGCCCTTGAATTTAGAAACTAGTTCCCAAGAAAAAATGAATAAATAAATATTTTTTTTGATATCAGAATTTTCCGAAATCCCAACAATATTTGCATAATAAAATATTTGGAATTATTTGAACTAACTACATAATACGAATATTCAAAAACGGTTTAATATATGGACTAACCTTTTGGGTGGTTTTACTAAAATCATTTCTAAGGTTATTTCAAAAACGTCAAAAATTTTTTAGTTAATCAAAAAAATTTATAGCGATATCAAAATATTATGTGAATATGTTGAAAACATAGCTTGTGCTTTTTCGTTTTTTTTTCCATTTAAAAAAATGTACCTAACATTTAAAAATCTTTTTAGTGAAACACAACTCAAAGAAAAAGTAATAATATACTTATTAGTTAATTATATTAGTTAATTATATTTTTTGTAAAAGTCTTTCCGTGTTGTACTGTTTTAAGCTATAGTTTCCGGTTTGTCTATGTATTTAATAAGTTCAAACAATATACTTGTATTTTATTTAAGTGCATACCCACTCACACGCACACACACAAAGCTGTCTGTGTCCTTGCCACATGCAACGTCTGCCGGAGTTGCTGCTTCTGCTGTTGCCCAATGGCCGCAAGGAATTTCACACAATTGCTAGAAAAATTGCAGAAAATTGAAAATGTGCGAGAGCGCATAAATTTTTACTGCGTCACTTGTGAATGCTAAATTGTTGTTATTTATGTTGGCACTGTAAAGCCAAGGTCCCCGCCAGTTTATCCCCCTCGAAAGAAGATACTACTACTACGGAGAAGATTTAAAGACACAAATCGATTTCATTTCGCACATCACTTGATGCCTGTCACTGCCCCACGGAGTTTTGTTGCCGTCTTTGATGGGGAATCAAAGTCCAGACCGTAACAAAACCCTGCCGGAGTTCAAGGTCACAGGATATTACAATGGGTAAAAATAAAAGTTTACGATTATCAATTTTCACAGCAGTCCTCGCTTGAGAACGTGTAAGCCAGTGCGGGCAAAAAATCGAAAGAAACTGCAGCCAAAGTTAGCCATCGAGGAAACGATCAGCACTCCAACGCCCAGGGAAATGGCTTCATCCTGGTGTCCTTCCAGCCAGTTGAAAATCTTCCGACAAGGATGCGCCATCAGTTGCATTTGCTTCTCGACCGCATGTTCATAACAACTCTGGCCATAAAACAGTAGATAGGATACCTGCATGGTTTCCGCCTCCTTGATGATCACATGCTTTTTATCCGCACTGGTTTCATTGTCCTGGAAAACGAATTCAACTATGGCCACGCAACGGAGAATGGAACCGCATCGGGAGCCACCCAAACCAGCCTGGGGTTTACTCTTGGCCAGAGCTTCATTGACATCGCTGGTGAGTTCCAGACACTTTCCATCCGATAGGGAATTTTGGTTGAGCAGCGAGTATAGCTTCTCCAATTTGCAGCCATAGAAACCAAGGCGAACGGATTCCTTTTTTTCCTGCCGCAGACGAGCATAGGCCTCACCTCTGCGATTTCCCTTGCCCGTTCGCACCTCGAAGATCTGGGTGGGTGGACGATGGGGAGTGGGCATCCCGAGGTGAGCGTACAGCTCCGCAAACTCACAAGGTCGCAGGGAGCTCAAGGACACGCGATCGGCTTGATCCACCAAGATGTCCGTTAGCAAACGCACCACATTGGGAGAGCAGGCCTGGTAGTCGCTGTGCATGAGCTGGTGCTGCAGTGCCTCCAGTCGGGGGGCATCACCCAGGGTATTACACACCAGATCGATGGTGCTCCAGTGGCTGGGCAGTGGTCTCAATCTTGTCCTGTAACGATGGCTCCAGGCGGCAGCCACGAAAATGGTCCACAACGCCTCACAGCCCATGAAATCCTCCTGAAGACGTCGCTGGACGAGATTCAGGGCCCTCATATCCAGATACGATGTGGGGGTCCTGCGATTTAATGGCAGGACTATGGACTGCGGCAGTAGGGCCACCAATCGCCGCCAGCTGATCCGCTTCGATGGCCTGTGACCATAAAATCCCGTGGCTGAGGCACCCGAAAGCAGAGTCATTTTCACTGGCTCTGAATATGGTCTATGTGGATTTTGATTTTGATTTCCCTTCAGAGACTGAAATTTTGAAATTGTTTTGCAGAGTTTTCGCCAAGCCGTCGGGCATCAATCTATTCCTCCGACAATCTCGACAATCGAATGAAGTGTGTCGCCCAGGTGGCAGGTCGTCCTCGTTGCAGGAGATTGAATTTCGTCCCGGAATGCACTAAGAAAAAAATTACTCATGGATTTGCGTTAAACTGTAATAATTTTTCCTAATATTCCAATCAAGCTGCTTTTTTATTGACAGTAAGTCTTGACACTATACACATACTTTGTTGTAAAACTTTTAAGCCGAAAATAATGGGCAGTTAAAAAATTCGGTTCTTAAAAGTCAACCACGAAATGTTAACCAATTACCGTATTCTATATTATAATAAATATTTTTGATTTTAATCTTCTTAATATAAAATGTTTCTTATGTTTTCTATTGTCTGAGAATATTTTTAAATATATTATATATATATTATATATATTTTGCGAATTATTTTGTAAAACATTGTTGAATATATCCAAAGTTTCAAAAAAACATGTTTAAATCTAAGATCTATGTTTTGTTTTATTTTAGGAAGAAATTAAAATAATAATATAAGCAAATAATAAATTTAATTCTTCAACACTTAAGTAATATGAAATGATTAAATAAATTTTAAATGTTGTTTTGCCTTACCATTTCTGAAAGTTTCTTCGAGTGCATTCCTAGTAACAGTTGCCAAGTGTGATCTCCGGATGGGTTTTGGTTGGGTTGGGCCTGGTTGTGCTGTAATTGATTAATGGAGCCTGATGTCGAATGCCTGATGCCTGCTGTCTGCCGGTTGATGGCTGACGCTCACCTTATGTCGGGGGTGACTTGGCCCAGGACCCCGAGATGAGATGAAGCCACCACCAGGAGCGGGTGGAATGGTCAAAGTTGCATCATAGCTACGCAGTTAATTGGATACTTTTTCAATACTTTTATCTACGGCAGCAACCCCCGGCCACTGGGTCTCTCCACCTGCTGCTGCATGCGTAATTTATTGATATACTCCCGCTAAATTATGAGTCTCCTGGGGGGCGCGAGAAGGAAATAATTTTTTGTTTTCCCCACTCTTTTTTGCCCCATGAAAGGAGGCTGCAGGTGTGGGTCTGTGTGGAAATCAGTTAACCGAAAAAGTTTGCAACTTTTTGCCGTGCTCGCTGCCTGTGAAATCAAAGTTGGAGTTTATTCAAATAAACGCCGACATTAAGAGAGTTGCAACTGTTGCGTTGCGTCGCCGGGAGGCGTCTCCTGGCATTCGGCGGCATAAATCAGAGCCCAACAGCCGTGGCAACTTTTTCCCCAGATAAACTTTTGACGTCATTTAACCCTCTTTTTTTTTGCCAGGCTTTTTTCGGGGGGTGCCTGCAATGTTATTAATATGCTCAAGTTTCTTTTGGCGTTGTCAATTCCCCGGAGGCGCTTCCTGCTAAATAATTCCAGTTGCCATCGATTTCCCGCCTCCAGGACAAAACAAATGTGTTTAAAGGATTCTCTTCGTTTATTACACACCAAATGAGGGCCCATTTTCATATGCCACAGTGACAGATAAACAGGATATGCAGTGATAGGAAAGTTACCATATTATCAATTTTAAAGTTCAGGTAAATGGTAAGATGAGTTTTAAAGGGCCCTTCGTCGTTAATAATTAGGCTATGAAACTACATTTCTGGACCATTATTGAAGTGTTTATTTATTTTAAGAGGAATAAACGACCAATAAAAATACCTAGTTACATCCCCTCATTTGCCTACCACATTTAACATTTCCCCGAAGTCTTAAGCAAATTAATAACTGGCGATGGATAGATACGATTTCACGGACTCCACAATCTTCGGCACAAAAATGCTATTGTTGTGCAGGACAAATAGGAAATTTCGCAGCGGCAATGAGTTCTGAAATGCAGAAGATGAAATGTGAATCAGTGCGGCGAAATCAATTATCACAAACACTCTCCATCGAATGGCTGATAAATATATATGGGTTTCGGGACTGGGGAAAATAAATATAAATTGCCTGCTGGCTGGCGATTTGATTTCATAAATATGTGCCTCACGTAGCCCAGCTCAATTGCCAATTAGAAGCGAGGCGAAAGGAAAAAGCAGTGGCAAAGGCGGCAGGAAAAAAACATAAAAAGAAAAGGCGGTGGCACTTGAAAATTCTGAGGCATCAACGGAAGTTGATTTGTATACGGAATCGCATATAAAAGTTGCCCACTTTTAACCTGCACCTTTTTGGCCAAAATTCAATAAAGCAATTGGAAATTTTTCTCACGTCTCTCTAGGAAATTATTATGGAGCTGGCAGTAGAGGACGGCCGTTTCAAATGGAATTCTTTAAACAATTTTCCCCAAGCCCACACATATACTGCCACCTGGAGATGGGGAACTCGAGCAAACAAAGCGTGTCCCCAACTGAAATACAATTACCACATGGGGTCTTTAGGTTTTCCCACTCACCTTTAGATCGTTCATTATCTTGGCAAACTTTGGACTGCTAATGTTTTCGAAAAAGTTTAAAAAGTAGTCGAAAAATAGGGCATTCAGTTGGTCCTGTGGCAGGATCTCCAGAACCCTCTCCACCATTCCATGCAGGCCTTTTGGTAGTTTTCCGGTGTATTGTAGTTCTAAAAATGTATTTTCTTTTTAGTTGCTTATACAAAATGTTTATTTTGATTATATGGCAATAGCACTTTAAATTAAAATAAATATTTATTGTTAAATCAAACATTTTAAAAATGTTAGGAATTTTAAAAACATTTTAAACAAACATTTTAAAAATGTTAGGAATTTTAAAAATGTTAGAAATAAATGTTCTAAAAAGGTCGCCATACTGATATGATATGAGGTAAATATTAACTTCTTATTAATTTATCACGTCAGTAAAGAAAATAATATTTATTTCATCAAAGGAGGTTAACAAATTAAAAGCCAATAGATTGTCTGTTCGTATCAATATAACATATGTATATAAGGCCGTACAAAATTAATTTCCACTTAAGTATTTCATAAATTAATTTTTAAAAATGAAATTCAAGAAATACTACTACTAAATGAACCATTTTCCCCTTAATAAGCAACATACGCACCTTTCATTTCAATAGAGCTCATAGCGGAAACTGTGAACACCTCTGCCACCGAATGCACCACCTTGACCACATCCAATCCTTGATCGCTCATGTAGTTGGTGAACGCAAGGACTTCCGGCAGCTGAAGGATCTTCCGCTTGATGGTCGCAAAATAGCTGCTGCTGAGAAATGTGTAGGCTCTTTGGAACTCCTCATCACTGAAGTAGTACTGCTTAGCTATGATTTGGACTCTTCGCACTGGAATCAGAGCCACAAAGGCGCTCAAATCGATGGAATTGTTGGAAGGACTTGGTTTCTTGTGAGTAAGGAAAATCAGATCATCGGAGGCATTCCTTTGGCCGCTTTCGTCACTCTCTTCGCTGGTGGTTCCGTCGAGAGTGACGAATCCAACACCGCTCGATTCCGATTCGTCACTATCCGGCTTAATTAATTCGTCCTGTGGAAAGCCCATCGAATCTGAAATTCCAGCGGCACAGACGATCAAAAGTAACAGGTAACCGCGATTCATACTGGCGATGTGATCTCCTGCACAGAATCTCAACTTCTGACCGACTCTTCTCACAGTATTCCACGTCCGCCAGCTTGTGTAGACTTTGGAGACCATTCTAGACTACGACAATCGTTTTGTCCCAACGATTATTTAATTTAATCAGCAGCATTCAACAAAAACACACACTTATGGGGGGGGAATTCATGACAGAGGTCACTACACTTTCAAAAACAACACAGAAGGTTTGTTGGAATAGTTTCGAAATTTGAAACCAAATTCAAAGGGTTTTCACAAATGGGGAAGTTGCTTTAAATTTAGCTGAAAGCTTTCATTTAACAAATAAAATTATAAAACTATATTATTGTTACATCGCTAGGAGGCATACTATAAAAAATACATTTTAGCAATCGGTCAACATTTTTGACAAATTATCTAAATATATTATATTAAGGAAATTATATTTTCTGATTTTATAATATAATTTTTGGTACTAAATGTCAATTTATAAAATGTACGTTTTATTTAAGTGAATACTTTATGATTTCTTCAGCTGGAATTGACTGTGCTTTTTTTTAAGTGCAGCTTAAAGCTGTAGTTTATAAAATATTGATTTATAGACTTATTGGTGGCTGGCGATTAGGCCATAAAACATAACTTCGGGCCATGGCAGCCACCATCACCGCCTCGTTCTCGTAAATTATCCAAATGGGCGACTTTCCTGTGGGCGATTTGGACAACTGCATTTCCGCCGATGCAAATCAAAGAAAATCACACCCATTTTGCCCCTCTTTGCGGGTGAAATTCACACTTTGACAGCTGGCGGGAATGTCACCCGGTTAGTCACTATATGTGTGTGTCACTCAGTCATCCAGTCATTCAGTCATTCAGTCATTTAGTCAGTCAGCCAGTCAGTCAATCGCTCAGGCGCCCATTCAGGTCTCGTTTCCAGCTCGCTCGCTTGTCAAACTGTGCATAAAATATGTACATGCATATGTCCCGGCACACACATTTCCACCCGCACTCCGGCTGATATATTCATTTGCTCATTCAGCAAGTTAAGTAGGAATAAAATTGTCAATTTTCATGTCATTATTTCATGTCGTCGTCGCCGTTTGCCGCTTGCCGCTCACTTTCCCATGTGTCAACTGTGACACTCTCCACTCGCGTCGCTGTGTGTTTTCGGATATGATTTATTCACTTGGCTTGATTTATTACATGCCCACACGGCCGCAGCCTGTAAATTGTTCTGCCTACAAACCAATAATAATTGTATCGTCGTCAACGTCAGCCAGTCAGCCAGCCAGCCAGTCGACCGAACTTTAGTTGCACCGCAATTTTTTACATAAATTATTTGACTAAGCCCCCAACTTGATTAAAACTTGGCCTAGACTCCTGGAGACTCCGGGTTTTTCCGTAACGTATGACACTTTATGAATTTGGCGAGCAAAGTTTTGAGGGTGCAAACTTTTGCCGGTGTCGGTTTGGTGCCGTAAACAATCGGCCGGGCAAGTTATCCTGCACTCAAACAAATTTCACCTAAATCGGGTGAAGTTTGCTAAGTTACCAATTACTAGCTAATTTGTTATTATCCACTATAATATCAACATGGACAAAATAATTGTTTTAGCTGGGTACCTAAATAATAATAAAAGTTTATTTTTAAAAAAACCGTTCATTTATCTACTTTTTCTTACAATGAAAATAAAATAACAAGGAAAACAAAGGTTGAATTATGTACATTTAGAGGGGTAGAAACGAGAAGTTTAAATTGAAAGTTCCAATGATATTTTTTTTAATCATTAAATCAAATATTTAGAACCACCTTACATTTATTTTTTTAGATACATTTTATTGTTATTTTTAAAACAGTTATGTGCGACCATTAATTTATACAAATACTTTAAAATTGATCACGAACTTTTGATGGCTAATAAATTTGTAAGTATTTCAATTTTGAAGTAAATGGAGTTGAAAATCAATTATAAAAATCATTTAAAGCCTCTATTTGCTGTTGAAATATTTTGTAGAAAATCAGGGACACTCTTTCTTCAAGTGTATCGAGCGGGCCGAGCTTATAAATTAATTTTGCCCCACCAGAACACTTCAGCGAGCTGGTGGCATACCTCAGCTGCCATAAAGGTGGCGGCGGCCCAAGTTGGCGGCGACTTAATTAACTGCAGTCCGGCGAAGTCAGCGGTACACACGCACCTGAGACCGAGACCGAAAGCAGAGGATGAAGGACGAAGGACGACGGACTGCATCCTTGAAGGGAAAAAGAGGCAGTTAATTTCATGCTGCCTGGCTTTGGACCTACTCCTTCCCCTCCCCGCCCCTCTGTGTGCCATGTGTTTTAAAGTGATTTTCTTGGCCAGGCGCCTTTTGTTTATGTTGCGGCATAAGAGCTCCGCTTTACCGCAAGTGTCAACATTTATTTCCAACTTAACACTTTTGGCGTAACATGGCGCTTAATCCGCAGCGCCAAGTCGAGCCGCGCCAAGAACTTGACTAATTTTGTGCAAAGTTCAGCATTAACATTACCGCAAATTAGCAAAAGTTTTCGCACAAACAGCCGCAGCGCAGGAAAAAAAAAAAAAAAAAGATGAGTGGAGAGGGGAGCAGTGAGGAGAGGAGGAGCAGTAAATCCGATTGCAGGGATTGCATGGTGGGAAAGCCTGGGAAATGCTGGGAAAACAGGGGGCATGCGGGGAGCCCTTTGAGTTGTGGCATCAGCAGACGTTGCCTGTAGTATCTGGGATGGTTCACTGACTGCCATAAATTAACTTGTCTAGGCCCGATTCCTTGCCAGGCGGCCTGTCCCCAAAAACTTCTTGCCAGATTCACCAGCTGGATCTCCTCCTGCGCCAGCTCCTTTTTCCTCTTGTAATCTGTTTCACACTTAATGTTTTCACTCACTGTTTTCTCAGTTCGGTTTTCACTTTACCAGCACGTACGAAAAATTGTTGTTTAATTGGGTACATATTTCTAAAATCGAAATGTCAGCAGATTAGTAAGCTACTTAAAACTAGAAAGATATGCCTTGACCTAGAATAAAATGAAAAGATATTAAATTCAATGCCTAACAACTTTTGGTTAGTATTAGTTTTATATTTTTCTTCCATTTATTTACCTATTTATTGTATAAGTGGTAATTGACAATCAACAAAATTGCCCAATTTAAATAGTTCCTAAACATATTCAAAAATTTCTTCTTTTACATGTCAATAACTCATAATTTAAACAAAGAATGCAATACAAAACAATTTATGACATTTATTTTTCAATAGTTAAAACCATTTTATTGATTCTACCCAATGTAAAGAATTCAAAAATGACAAAATTATGTCCTATAAATAGTCCTCTTTATTTTAAAGACCGAAGCAGCCTTTAATAGATACCTATTTACAGATAACGTTTTTCCCTTCACAGTGACGGTTGATTTCGATATGGGTTATTTATAGATGGACAGATCAATCGATATGTACTTTATCCACGCGGACTTGTCCCTGTCAGTTGTCAATCAGTTTTTCGGGTTTGGCTTTGATTTCCATCCACTGCCCCGGCGAAGGATGTCAGTAAGCCGTAACAAAAACAGAAATTATGTCCTTACACACAGGTCATCGCCGACTGCCCTGCACAACCTTCAATCAATTGGGGTTTTTGGTATTTTCGGGGCGGAGAGGGGATTCCCCGTCCTTCAAACTGAAGAGCAGAGTGTTCCATCGCTTTTGACACGTTTGGCAAATATTTGAGCACGTCTAAAAGCGCGTTACGGTCTCCAGCTGGCGTTCAATATTTTCAGAGTGAGCGCAGCAGCCTCAGATGACCGATTTTCACTGCTTTTCCCGCCCACTTTTCCGCCTTAGGCTCCCCGCCCCCTCCGTTGCCCCCACCTTGCCCCATCACAAATCGCGTGGCAGTGCGTGCTTTGCCCTTGGCCTGTGGCTTAATTAATTTTCGCTTCCGTTAACAATTTTTATGCGGACTTGGCTCCTTGGGAGCGCTTGGCATGCGCTGATTTCGTGTTTATGGGTCCTTTAATTCGCCACTAATACGGGTCCGTTTGCGGCGGAATTATTTGCCGGATACATGCGATTAGTTTTGCTCAGATTGCGAATAGTTTTTGCTCTCCATTTTGCAAGCGTGCAACAAGTTAATTACATAATTCAGCCAACCCACGCCTGCACTCGCCTTTGATATTAATGTCTGCGCGGGGCACTTCCGATATATATAAACCAAATAAACACTAAATTCCAGTTAAATAGGCAGCGACACCAGCAGCAGCACCAGAAACTTGGTCAAAAGAAATATAAAATAAAATAAAATTAAATAAAATAGCAAAAGGAGCATAAGAAGCATCAGCAGCATCGAAAAAAGGAGACTTAAAAAATAAGCTAAAAGTCTTTTGAAGTTGCCAAAGTAAAAGCAGGGGGGGGAAAATGAAGGAGGTGGTAGGGGGAGGGTGGGAAATGGGAAATGCAGGCAAACAGCGCGATATAAAGTTGGGGCTTTTTGGCTTTGACGCACGTAGCTCCCGATTTGAAAGTTTGTCGTGTGTGCTCTGTATATATATTCATATATATATATGTGTTTACACATACAAGTTTATATATATATATATGAACAACAAGGAATCGACAGAAACTCCAGATCCCACTTCTGCGTTTGCTGCAACGCTTTTATTAAGCTTATAAATTTTTTATTTAAGACTTTTCACTTTGAGCAGTTTTGCGAAAGCCTCGGGGCCAAATGGCAAACAGCAGCCACACCGACAGTCATGTGACATTTATTCGAGTTGCGCCAGGAGCATTTCAATTTCACATTTAACAAACGGACCCACTCCATTGCATTCGCTAAACCCGTTGTACCCATAAATTATCCAAATAGTTAATGCCAAAATTGTGAAATAGTGTGACACTTTCATTAAATGCCCAAAGCGGGAGCGCTGAATAAATGGAGAATTTCAATAAAAATGCCAAAATGCACTGGCCACGACATGCGATGCGAAAATATTTGATAAACTGCAACAATTTCCCCAAGGGCTGACCACTTTTTTATGCCAACTGCCTGCCAGTATTAGTTTTGCGAATATATTCGCTGGAAATGCGACTAAATCCATATGGAGTTTATCCGATTTGATTTGTGGCCTGCTAAAGTTTTCAAAGTAAAAATTTTACCAATTTCGACCATTTTGATAATAAGATGCTGGTAACGTTTATTTGTGTTTGCCTACACAGAAACAAAATAATGAGCTATTTAATAATAATAATTGACTTTAGGCAAAGGCTTAAAAAATATTGATTTATAGATTGCAACATACTATTTCATGTGACGCTTTTATTGATTTTAAAATGATTGGAAATGATGATATTTTCTGCAATAATTAATAAGTGGGCCTATCAATTTACAATTAAATAATAGAATTATATGTATTTATATATTGAAACCTCTGTCGAGTTTGTATAACTGATGTTGGCCATATTTTGGAGTTGGTTGTTCTACATTTATAGTTGGTTTAAAACGAACCTATCTTCAAAACCTTTTAATTTTTTCGATGAATACAATAATTGTAAAAATTTTTCTAATTCATTTATACATTTTTCTGTGTGTAATATGTCAGTTTGTGGGGTCCTAAAAAAAAGCGTCACGTGGTGCATATAAATTGCCAGGTTTGGAAACTTTTCTGTAGAGGTGCAAATTACTTTTGTTCTTTTCTGTTTGCCATCGGCGTATTTTTTGCTCCATTTTTCCCTTCGCCTGACAACTGTCGAGCATCGAATTGACCAGACTTTTGGCATTGCCTAAGCGTGCGTGTGAATGACCAAAAACTGGACATGGACGCACAAGTATTTATAGCAGACTCACACATGTTCGACTATGTGTGGTCAAAGGAAATCAATTTCCATATGCAAAACTTTTTTAGTGCACGTACTGGACGACGAGAAGGGAGCCCAAAATCGAATTTGGTCCATAAAATATTCAAATTGTTCTGTATAAACGACGCATAAACATTCTTTGTGCAGGGCACCTGCAGCACCAGCACCAGCTCCATTCCATTCCATTCCATTTCGATCCCGCCCCGAATCGCATAAATTTTTATGTTCAAATGCCAAAGGCCGTAGGCAGGCGATCGCTTAATGTGTCCCGCGGCAGAAATTCAATTTGTAGCACATCCGTGGCCGAAAAGGAAAAGGTAAAAAACAGCCAGCGGAGGGAACTGCAAATGCGAAAAAAGTGCAAATGTCCGACTGGCCAAGGACCAAGGAACAAGGAGCAGGAAGCAGGGAACAAGGACCCAAACAAACCGAAACAAAATAGGAGCAAAAGTCGCCCCTTGAGAGCTGAGAAAAACACTGCCTGACTGCTGCTGCTGCTACTTTGCTATGCGAACGATTGATTGAAAATTGATTTCATTATGAACTTGTGATGCATATTCGCCCAACCACCTAGCCACCCCCAACCACCCATCCACAGAACCACCCCACCACCCAACCATCCAACCACATATCCTTCAACACCACCCGGCATTCCCACAGAGTTTTGTGCATCTCAGTAGATAATTGGATTTCGGAAGGTTGCCAAGTCCGTTGTGTCCGTAGTGTATTGTGCATTTCCACTTCCAATTAGTTATGGAATTTTTGCTGTATTTAAATTTTTGTATCCCCCAGTTAGACTTATCGGAATGTGTAAGTTGAGAAGGGAAGATTGTGGGTGGGCCAAATGCCCCCCATTTCCAGAACACAGTCCCAGGAAATTAAGCCGCTTATGGCTGGGTCATTCGTTCCCTTTTGTTTTTTAATGCTCAGCCAGGCTCCCATCCTGCCAACCCCCCCATCCCCCATCCCCCCTTCACCGATTCCCATCCTCTTTTTGGGCCAAAAAATATTACTCGGCTGCCATTCCACTTAAGATTCCGCCGGCCAAGTGCACTTGTGCTGGCCACAAATGGCAATGGCTGTGTTGTCTGTCGCGCGTATTTAGCATAAAAGGTGCGGCCAAGACTTCGCCGGGCTTTTGATGTCCCCCCTCTAGCCCCCCACCCCCCAAACCCTGCCGACAATGTTGATATTTTGCATCAAAATTCTGACAAACTTGTTCAGCGAAAAAGGGGTGGGGGGTTGGTGGTGGTGGATAGATCCGAAGCGGAAGTGGCGACATTTTAGGATGTCACTCCGAGTTTGAGGTCGCCGCAAAGTGCGCAACACAATTTGCATAATGCCCGGTGGGACGGATGAATGTGGCTGCGGATGAGGATGTGGCGGGGACTGGAGAGCGGGGAGTGGGGAGTGGAGAGGGGGGAGCGGGCGGAGATGCTGAATGCGGTCCCGAATTTGGTCTACGTTTCGGTCTTCTGTTGCTGCACTGAGGGAAAATTAATTCAATTAAATTCAGATGACAACATCTCCATTACGAACATGTATTCATTTCAAGCTGACATTCTGTAAAATGCTAAATGCTAATATGCAGGTATATGTAGGTAGGCATTGAACTAAAAAGCGGATTTGTTGCGCTAACTTAGCCAATATACGACGAAAAGCCACAAGAAAACTTATTTGTCCAGCTGAAAACCAATCAATAGATTCCAAGTTGATTTAAAAAAAAATTTTTCTTTAATGGTTTTTGCATTTTTTATAAATTATGATTTCTTGCGAAAATCGGCTCAAAATTTATTTTTATAACTGTGAATACCAATCGATTGGAAATTTTATAACGAATTCAATGGTATATGACATTCCACCCTTTGAGCCTTCTTTTCCAGCGTTTTGATCAAAAACACCTAAAATAGAATTCATTTTTTCGGGACATTGCATTTTTGATATTTTTTATAAAGGGTTACTTCATGATTTTTTGCCAAAACTGTCTCAAAATTAAATTTTTTAACTGAGAATTCCAACTTATTGCCAATTTTATAACGAGTTCAACGGTATATGACATTCCAAAATGTTCTTCGTACAGCGAACGAAAATTTAGATTTTGTTCAGCTAAGGACCTAAACAATCGATTCAAGGATCTTATCCCTTAAGTTGACTACAACCTATACATGTCGTATATATAGGCACAATCTGGTGTGACTGCAAGGGTATTATAACTTTAGTCTGCTAGCGTTTAAAATGAAAACTATTTTCTTTGCCAGTGCATGCAAATGAGTACGAGATGAACAAGCAGGCGGTCTTATCCTCGTCAGTATTGGTTCAGGTCTTGTTCGGACTGTTGTATCCCACACGCAGTCGCCACCTCGACATTGTTATACCTAACATATCCCCACCTAACACACTTTCCCAAGGACACCATGAAGAAATCGCCGAGGACGAGTCGGGCGAAGGCCGAGCAGAAACAGAAGGTGGAGAACGAGTTGAAGTGCGTGAGCGACTTTGAGAGGACCTTGCTCCTGGACACGATGCCCCGCCGGATGGACACCTTCTGGAAGACGGACACCAGGCTGAGTGCGTCCAGGCTGAGTGGTCCTTGGATGCTGCACCACTGCAACTTCAACAAGGGACTCGCCTTTTCACTAAATGAAAGGCGGGTGCTGTCCATCCACGGACTGCTGCCGGTGGCAGTGCGGACCATTGATCACCAGGTGGCCGCCTGTTCGCAGGTCCTCGATCAGTTCACCACCGACATGCAGAGGTACTTGTATCTGGTCTACCTGTCGCGCAGAAATAGGAGACTGTTCTACTATATATTGCTCAGCGATACCGATCGCTTTATGCCCTTGACGGACTCCACTGGTTCGGTGGAGTTGCTCACGATCCACAGGATGCTGCACTCCGTGGGCCAGGGATTGTTCATAACCAGCAAGGATCTGGGTCATGTGGCCCAAATCCTGGCCAATTGGCCGATCCGCTGTGTTCGCTGCTTGCTGGTGAGCAATGGAGCCTCTGTGCTGAGTCTCGGTGACTTGGGTGTGGACGAGATGCCCGTCCTCTTCTCGAACATTCATCATAATGTGGTCTTTGGTGGCATTCATCCGGATTTCTGTCTGGCCGTGATGATAGACGTGGGCACGAACAACGAGCAGCTGCTGGAGGATCCCGCCTATTCGGGTTTGAAGGAGCATCGTGCCTCGGACGAACTGTACCACAAGTTGTTCGAGGAATTCACTCTGGCGGTCATCCAGCAATACGGCTCACATGCCCTGATCCTGTGCAAGGACTTCGAGGCGCAGAACGCCAAGAAGCAGGTGGAGTTGTACCGCGCCCGCCAGTGCATCGTGGACGTGGATTTCCAGTGCATGGCTGCAGTTGCTCTGGCCGGAGTCATTGTATGCGATAAATTGAAAAGGGTCTTCTTTTCGGCCAATGTGTTCTTGTTCTACGGTGGCGATGCCATCAACATTGGCATGGCTCGATTGTGCAAGGCTTTGCTGCGAAGGGAGGGCTTCAGTGAGATGAAGGCCCGGGAGCGGATTTGGTTTTGCGATGCCAACGGATTGATAGTGATGGACAGGCAGGACATTCCCGAGGAGCTGCTTGAGTTTGCCCAGATTCATGAGCCCATCTTCAGCCTAGTTGAGGCCATTCAAGAGCTAAAACCCAATGTCCTGGTGGGAGGATCCTCGCAGCCGAACAGCTTTACGCCGGATGTCCTGCGGGCGATGGAGAAGAGCGCCTGTCAACCGGTCATTTTTGCTCTATCAAGACCTCAGGAACAGGCGGAGTGCACCGCTGAAGCGGCATACTCCTACACCAAGGGACGTTGCATCTTCATCTCCGGATCGAAGCTGCCGCCGCTGAAGTATGGCAACAAGTGGTATCAGCCGGGTCATTGCACCAGTAGTTACCTAGTGGCCGGAATAAGTTGCGGCGTGATGTTGGCTGGATTCTCGACCATTCCGGATGAGGCCTTCTGCGTCGCGGCCGAGCGTCTGGCCAGTCTGGTGTGGCCCTGTGACCTGGAGATGCGGAACGTCTATCCGCCGATGAGGAAGATCCAGTGCATCAGCCTGCAAATGGCCGAGGCCATCTTCACGTACGCCTTTCGCCGGGGATTGGCCACGCTGTGGCCACAGCCGGAAAACCCCATGGAGTTCATCAAGAGCTCGATGTACGACTCGCAGTACCGCATGAATATCGTGGACGTTTACTGCATGCAAAACCGTAGTATCGCCACCACCGAATCCCACAAATACTACCAGCTTAACATCTAGGACCTGTACTTACTTTGGGGCCATTATTAAATGGAGTGAACCAGAGAGCTGGGATTAAGGGGCCACTAACTGGGGGCAAATTGCATGGCGTATCATGTCTAATAACAGTTGTTTGCCCAGTCTGCATATTGATTTCGATTCGAACCAAAGTCGGAGTACAAGAACGCCGGCGGGCAATTAATTGCATGCAATTTTCATGTGTCAACTCATGCTGTGTGTGGCCATATATGTACATGCGAATACTCGGGTGGTGTTTTGGCTGGTTCAGTACTCAATTCTCCAGTGACTGCACTCGAAACTATCGCCGTACGACAATAAAATAATTGAAACAACCACCATGAAATGGTAGGAAACACAGCCACAGCAAAAATGCAGACAAATTAAATTGCACGAGTGTGCACGGGTGTGTGTGTGTGGGTGAGTGGGTGTGGGTGTGTGTGCGTCTGGCTTTGACAGGTGTGCGTCTGAGCGAAAGCATGATATTCCATTCCATTTATCAATACGGAAAATGAAATGCAACCCGGCATTGTGTCGGTTTCCCCTTTGTCACATTGAATTATTTGCTTAGGTTTTTTACCGCACTTTCCGGCCATCGCTTATCGGCTGGCCTTTTAGCATGAATGGAGCCCATCTGAAATTTTCATTAGCCACATATTTTCACAAGGCAATAGAATTCGACTTTGGCTAACACTACCATTGAGTTTTGATTTTATTAGACTTAAACGCAGGAGGAGTTCTTACACTACGTTGGACCCCAGGAGATGACTTCGTAGCCAATTGTTTTTAGGTCCTGAGCATCGATGGCATGTCCCGAGAGCTCCCGAACCACGCTCTGTACATTAGTTGTTTTCTGAAATATTGAGAGTGTATATGTTTAAAATCAAAACCTAAAATGGAATAATTCTTTGAGATGTCAGTAGAAAAGTATGCCGTATTTAAGCATGCAAATAGGTTCCGCTTAAAAATGTTCACAACCTAATTTATTGTCTCAAAATATCTACATAACTCATTTACTAACGAATCCTGCACAATAATATTTAATATTTTTATTTTTTTCATATTTTTTATATTTATTTTTTTCTCTATGAATTTTAACAATATTATCTCTTACCCAGGCTGCTTCGGACTTTGTCTTAAACTCTGGACTTTTCAGTGCCTCATAAAACTTTGCAAATATGGGGCTTCGCTGGCGTTTTTCATTTATTAAGGCCACAAATCGATCTCGGGGCAGATGCGTGAGTAGTTCCTGCACAAAGCTCGTAAAGGAGCTCAACTGTGTGGTCTCTGAATTAGGTTCAAGTAGCACCACAAAGATCTCCTCCCTGAGATCGTCATCAACCGATCGACGATGCCTGATGAAATTGAAATGATGATGCCAGTGTTTTTGCTCTTTTTCTGAGGCCGTGTCATTCAGATGAACAAAGTTAATTAGATCTACAACTTCTGGCAGAGACTCAATGCGCTGTTGTAATCTCTTGAAATCGGAGCTGCGCAAAAACTTTATGGCTTTGCGAAAGCCCGAATCCGTAATCATGTGCTCGGCGACAATTTCATCGATGGTGACACTGGGAATCAGTTTCTCAAAGTCTTTTAGCTCGCTTATCAACTCCGGAGAGTATTTGTACTTCCTGTGATAGCGATACTTTCCAGAAACTAGCACAATGCCGAGGAGAAGAAGCTGAAGCATCAGCTTAAATGGTGACATTTTTTCAGGTTTTCTCTTTGTTTGTTTTATATAAATTTTGTGTGTGTCAATCAATGCTTCCCGGTCAGCGGTTTGTTTATTACTAACTACTTACTCACTTTTTCTGGGGCGAGAATAAAATTTCTATACGGTATGCCGCTCAGGCATTTGTTATCTTTAAGTATGTTTACTCTATTAAAATTGATAACATGGATTCTATGGAAAGGCTTGTAACGGAAAGTGAAATGTAACATAAGTACTCCCTATAACAAAAAAAAAGTGTTGCTGGCACCACATTATAAATGTATTTATGGTAAAATAAAAAATATCAAAATTATACTATTAAAAATAAAAACCAAACAGCTAAACCTAACCAAAGAATTTTAATTTAAGATTACAACTCATATTTATTAGGAAAGATCAATATTTTTTTCCATTCCTTACTTACCATTAAAATTATTTTCGAGAAAGAGTATTAAGAAGTCGACTCATAGGAATCATTGTTTATTCCAAGACTCTCTTGTTATCGCTCTTTTTTTCGCTGTCTTTCTGCTCTAGAGAACATTGCTCATATAAAATAAATAAAGGCCTGCTTTCGAAGTTGAATACGAATTCTAATAAGAACAGTTTTGTTCATACAGTTCCCCTTTTTACAGTCGCATCCCAAATAAAAGTCCACACCAACGATTGTTTTGCTTATTAAAGAATCTTATCACATTTATTTACTGCATTTTTCTTTTTATGTGTTTACATCTAATTTGTTTTTCTTAATTTGTTTCTTTTATTCGGATTTTGCTGTTTTCCGGAAATATTTGGATAGCTCGTGAACCAATCTGCGTTTTGAAAATGTTCGAATGGAACCTTGCATTTGGTTTATTCGAATGGTGGTTAAGCGCAAATCTTCTTTTATTGTATGAATACTTTGTAAAAGTCGTTTATCTATTTATGTATATATATTTTTACCGCGAATATTTATTTAATTTGTATTAATATTTTTACAGTGAATTGTTCGTTAAGTACTCAATTAATATTAATTTTCATCTTTAATTGCCACATTGGCAATTTGATTCATATTTTCTGCGTGTTTTTTCCGAGTGTCCTTTTGTTTTTCTCTTTTGTTTCCGTTTGTTTTATTTTTTACTCAACATCATGTGATTGTCATACAAAACATTTCACATAATCTTTAAATTATTTACAATAAACGTTCAAATAAAAAAACTCTACTAAAGGCAACGCAAAAACATTTCATTCATTAAAGTTAGAAGCTCAGAGCATTAGTAGCTTTTAAATATTTGTTGTTTAATAGTTTTCTTTTTGTGGTTTTGGTTTAGTTCATTTACAATGGCAATGCCAGTATGCAATGCTAAAATTTTTGCTTTCCTTCTTTTTTTTTTTGCTTGGGTAAATCCTAAGATGAAAACATTAAAAATTTTGCAGAGAAAATCTTTAGAAAAATATTTCAAGTGTGTGTATGGGTGAGAGTAATGGTTAAGATTTTCTTACATTCGTCTCTTTTGTTTTGTTTTCTGTTGAAAAAAAACCTATTTAGGTTTTGGGTTGAGTCAAGCGTTTGGGTTTTCCTTGATTTTTTGCAATATTATGGCAGTTTTCGCGGATACAAATATGTTTACTAAATGCAACGAGATGTGTTGTTTTTGTTTTGTGTGAATGAATTTCTGCAATATTACTAAAAACGTATTTACTTGCCACACCAACTTACTTACGCTATTTACGGGTAAGTAATCATGAGCATGTTGGTCTCAATGCAGTAACTTCATGTATCTATATTTATTTATAAGTACGCGTATGCATATATATAACTATGTATTGCTTATCGTAAACATTAGGCCAACGCACAATCTATACAAGAGCGAGTTAATGCCGAATAGAGAATTTCAAATAAAAATTTGGAGCCGAGTAAAAATGAAAATCATTGCTGTTACTTTACTTACGTCTAAAGCTCTTCTATTTACAATTTTCCCCCATGCTATAGTTCATATAGCCTTTATGCTGTGCGTCATTTCTTTTCTGAAACTTTATTTCCGTTTCTTCGGTTTTGGCTATCGTAATAAGTTGGTTCCATATTCGTCTATGACCTAAACAGGGGCAGCTATTCGTGTATATGTTTATCTTACGCTAGTTTAGTCGAACAAATATGGCTAAGTAATATACAAATTCGTTTAAGATCTTCCCAACCCCAAACCCGAAATGGCCAAGCGACGAGTTGCCGGAAACTGAACCAAATCGAAATAAAAATCAAATCGTTGCGCCTCATGAGCTTGGTTAATACTTTGCCTTAGGTCAGATTCTCACTTAGGTGGTTGCAGTTCCATCTGTATCTGTATCTGTTCTGTATCTGTATCCGTATCTGTTAGATTACCTTAACCTTAGCTCGAAATAGAAATAGTGTCTTCTGTAAGTGTCTTTGTGTGAGTGTAAAACCGTAATTTCCATTTGACTTATGGCAGGATCCTTTTGATAGTAACTTTTCTCGTTTACTCCATCTTTGTATATCAGTTAGTTAATGTCGAAAATCATTCAGTTTGACGCTGACAACATCTCAAAACGAAACGAAAGCATGACCAAAAAACGCATCGAAATTATTGGAAATATTGTCGATTTTAAAAGCTTAAAAATTTCAGTCTTTGTAGTGGTTTTTTCCTCTATCTTCTTTTTTTTTTTTGTTTTGTTCATTTTGTTTTTCCTCAGCTCGGCCTTGTCACATTTTCATAGTGGTTCTCCGTATTTTCCTCGGGTGCTTACTGCCTCTCTGCGCCTGCAAACAGAATAAACCCAAATAAAGCAAATATGTTTAGATATAGAAAGTGAGATTGAGTGGGCAGCAGCGGGAAAAAGGAAAAAGGGGGAGAGAGGGGGTGGGGGTGGGGTGGTTAGTGTGGGTTGTCTTACATGGGCACTCAACTTACATTTACATTTTAACTAGAAACTTTAGAAGCGAGCAAATATGGTAAGCACGAACACGAAAATGTACAATTTGCGGTGGGCGGTGGCCACGCCCTCCGTCGACGACGACAAGAACTCAAAGCTGTACAAGTACTCTGGGCAGCGGCAACAACAATTTTTGAGTGGCATCAGCAGCAGCCAAGGGGGCGGGGGGGTTGGACAAAGGACATTTTCGGTTAGATTTCGTCAGGGTCTAATACTACCAGAACTAGAACTACTGGTTATGCGGGGACTGATGATGATGGATGGGTTATACTCGGGAAAAAAAACACCTTCCAAAGTCAAGAATATTCCAAGGGAATGTTTTTAAAAAATGTATTCCTAGATTTATTCCAGAAAATGTAGTATAAAACTTTCGATGATTAAAGTATTGAAATGTTTTTTTGATTTTCAATTTTAAACTATAGTCAAAGGTGTCCAAAAGAAAACATATTTATTTTAATAATTTTTGTGGCTTAATCATTTAAAAAACTTAATTACTTTGAGCTTATTATTTTTAGAGCTATTTATCAAAATTCAGATATTAAAAATAAATAAACTATTTTTTCTTTGTGCACCCCTTTCCATTTTCGTAGAATATTCTTGAGTGTGTGAAGTTTTTTTTTCTGTGTGCTCTGTTAATGCAGGGACTAAAGATAGCATGGGTTGTTCTATATTCTATGATTCAAGGATACTCACTTCTGGGTCAGACCAAAGCATCGTTGCTGAACACATCGTTCACATGCTTGCCGTTGCTGCTGATTGGTCCTGTTTTGTCCTTCAGGCCACATTGCTAATAAAAGGAAATGTAAAACGGGGAAGAAAGAGAAGGGGTGAACACTTAGATCTCTGCTAGCAAATTACAAAATAATTAAAACTCAAAAAGCACCCCCGCACCTGACGCCGAAAAATTAATTAAAACAATTAACGGCAGCTGGCGCCCAAGCCCAAAATATATATGCATAATTCCCAGGGATACACACCTCCTGTTTGGCCTGCCATTGCTTCATGGCCGATTTGTATTTTTCGAACTCGTTGCACCAGTGCGAGTAGATTTTCTGGTAATCCTGCTTCTGCGACGGCGGGGAGCATCTGAATGGGGAAAAGTGAGCAATAAGTTATTGACATTTTCGCGGAAATTAGTCTGCAGGGGGTTGGGTTTTGATGTGCCGGCGGTGTTGACAAGTCAGATATTTTCGCAGAATCAAAAAATTAACCGTGTTTAAGGAAAATAACAGTCTGGGAATTTTGGAAATTCAGTTATTAAATGCCTATCAGAAATTAATTGGTATTACAGCTAAACCAAATTACAATTATAAAGATTTTTATACCCTTGCAGAGGGTATTATAATTTCAGTCAAAAGTTTGCAACGCAGTGAAGGAGACATTTCCGACCCTATAAAGTATATATATTCTTGATCAGGATCACCTCCTGAGTTGATATAGCCATGTCCGTCTGTCCGTCTGTCCGTCCGTCCGTTTCTACGCAAACTAGTCCCTCAGTTTTAAAGCTATCTGCTCGAAACTTTCCCAAAAGTTGTCTTTCTATTGCAGGTAGTATATAAGTCGGAACGAGCCGGATCGGGCGACTATATCATATAGCTGCCATATAACTGAACGATCGGAAAAGCCATAACTTTGGTGTTTTTAAAGATAAGAAGTTGGGACTTTCTATGGGTTTTATTTTTGGCCAATCAATCCGACATACCGAATTTCATAAGGATCGGCCGACTATATCTTATAGCTGCCATATAACTGATTGATCGGAAGTGCCATAACTTTGGTGTTTGTAAAGTTAAGAAGTTGGGATTTTCTATGGGTTTTATTTTTGGCCAATCAATCCGACATACCAAATTTCATAAGGATCGGCCGACTATATCTTATAGCTGCCATATAACTGAACGATTGGAAATGCCATAACTTTGGTGTTTTTAAAGTTAGGAAGTTGGGATTTTTTATGAGTATTAAGAATGCATCATATGAATAATATTGGAGAATATAATTTACAGAGTATTCTGCAAGGGTATATCAACTTCGGCTCCGCCCGAAGTTAGCTTTCCTTTCTTGTTTATAGTAGCTTCTTTAGTTAAAGGATTTCGGGCTCGATATATTGTTGACTTGAATAACTTTACAATTTGTTTACTTGAGATTTAAATGAAAAAGTACATAAGTTTTATCAACACTGTATATTTATCTATTCTTAAAATTGTATATATTTTTAAAATTTCGTATTTTAAATGTGACCTGGAGCATTAGGTTATCTTAAAGAGATTTTTTTCCAATTTAATTTGAAAGTTTATATTTGGGTTGTCACAGAAATACAAAAATTATGATTCGAAAACCATTTTAGAAGTGCCCAAAAGTATGCTATGAAAAGTAAATCGCCGTCTTTCGGTCGTTTTAAAGCATATTACTAGACAAGTTTACTTAGTTTTGAGTCTTAGGATGTTTTTATGTAGCACCCCTATATTATTTATTTAAGAAAAGAAAATATATTTTACTTGTAGCCTTTTTTCACTCCCTGCTAGTAAAATTGGCCGTCTAACTTAGAGATTTCGAGCTGACTCACCTGTGGGCGTCCACGGTGACGCCGTAGCTGCAGAGCAGGGTGCCATCCAAGTAGCTGTCGTAGCGCCCGCCGTCGCCCTCGTTCACCGCCAAAAGGACCAGACCGCCCTCGTTCGTCTCGATGTATTTGGTGGGCGTGTAGCGGACCTCGTAGCTGCCAGACAGAGATGGGGAGCGGTGAGACAGAGATAGGGACAGATGTAGAGAGATGGCTTTTCAGATGGCTGCTGCGATAGCGCGCAGGGGATTTTCCATTTTCTATTCGCATTGGAAACGCACAATAAAAATCAATATAAACTGTGTGCGCGAGACACACAGACTTCGACTTCGACTTCGCCGACTATTCGGTTGGAAAGTTGAAAGTTTTTCCATTACTTGAACACCGGCAGCAGCGTAAACGCCAAAAAGCAGACTTGGAGCGCATTTTAAAGTGTCAATTTACCGCAGCATTGGCACGGCTAAGTGAGATGAAGCGGCATTTCGCTTACACATTTTCCCTACCCTCATTCGCTTTCAATTTTCCCAGAGATCTGCGATTCAGATAGATGAGAATCGTGTGGTTTTTTCCCCGAAAACTCAAAATACAATGGTCCCTGGGTTTTAGGGATATTTGTTTGAAAGTTTCCTTTTTGTTTAAATTGATGGGCTTGATTCAACATATCAAGCTGTCATAGATGTGCATACAAATGAGTGGTTTAGTTTAGCTAAAATATTCTCTCAAACGGAAAAAGTCGGTTTTGAACTAACTTTAATTATAAGAAAGTAAACATAGGTCTAATATTTTTCTCATTCAGCTAAAGCTATGTCTTTCACATATTGATTAAATTGCTGGAAACTGCCAGTAATGAACATCCAAATTTTTGTTTTTTTCTCAAGCCTATAAATATTTAAGGACATTCCCAATACTCACCGTCCTTTTTCGGTGGAGTGATGGTACCAGCGCGTCTGTTTCTTTCTCAGAACTTCCGGCATTTTGACAAAGCAGGAGAGGTGCAAAGTTTGGCCATAGGAGGAGGTGACTCTCTTTCGCAGGACACTCGTGTCGCAGATGCCCGACGTCTCGTTGGCCACGTCCTGCAGCAGACCCAGTTGATAAGGTCGGCAGGCATTGACCTCCTGATCCCATCCACAGTAAGGATCCGAAACACACCGGAAACAGCTGTCGTAACGACGGGCACACATGGCCATGTCGATCTGCTTCACCTGGTGATCGGTGGCCAGGTACAAGGAACCCGTCTTGTGGCTCAGTGTCAGCTCCCTGATCGGTTCATTATGCGGCGAGGCCTCGAATATATCCACCAAATTCGAGTGCCGCTGGCCGTAGTGCATAAACTGCACTATCTTGTAAATGTGACCCGACGTCGTGGCCACAAAGTACACTAGGAACTCCTGGTTCAGCTTGTCGATCCGTATCCTGCGGAAAAAAAGGAGGAAAAAAAGCCAGAAAGACCAGCATCAGTGGCAAGCGCTTAACTGAAAACACATCCTGCGGCACTTTGTTCACAAGTTCCGGCCAAGACAAAACATTTTTCGCTGCCAGAACAACTGACAGCACAGAGCCAGCCCAGGAGTCTGTGCACTTAGAAAAAAAGGTGAATAAAAAATTAAAAGGTCACCACTAGGGGTTTCACAGAAGAGAAAACTAATTATAAAGGTGACTTAAAGTAGGTCTTTAAATATAGAGAGTGGTCGCTCGAACACCTTTGATTTAAAAACTTGAATTTTAAAGACTTCTTTGTACGTTAAAACTGTTAAGAAAAAATGTATATTTATAGAACGTTTTTATCGTAATATTCGCAGTCAACTATTTTTTTTATTGAAAGGTCATAGAAAAAGCAATGCTTAAGATCTTTTTTTTTCAGGCCAAAGGACTTCCGTTTCCAGTGCCATTTTCTTTTCCATTAATGTAAGTATATAATTTGACAAAAAAAAAAAAAAATTTTTAAGACCTTACTATGATCTTTAGTTATTTACTTTTTTATTGAATAAAATGTAGTAATTGAATAATGAAAATAGACTATCAAATTGTGTTTTTTTTCCTGTGTACCCACACATAAGCCCCGAGAAATGTCAACAGGGATACTCCCATGCGACTGGCTCCTTGCCAGTCTGGAACTGGAAACTGAAAACTGGCTGGCGGCGCTAATGAATACAGTTCTCACTTACTTGTCCACCACCAACTTGGTGAGTATGACGTCCCGCTTGAAGAAGACCGGATTGCCAAATTCATGATCGACCGCCTTGTCCATTAGCGGATGTTTGCGAATGAAATTCAACACGGAGTCCGGCAGCGTGGCAGTGTCGTTGTGGCAAGTTCCCGGACGTGGCTCCGGCACTTTGGAGTTCAGCACGGGCAGCCAGGCGCTGTTCGAGGTGGCCTGCTCCTTGAATTTGCCTGGATGGAGTGGGATATACATATATACGGAGACCATCAGTACGGAGTTGAGTGCCGGGAAGAATGCTGCTCTTAATTTATGTGTGTCAGTGCTGTGCGAGTGCTGATTTGTGGCACTGGCACTCGGTAAATAAAAATACAATTTAAGAGTCACAGTCCGAGCTTTAATGGTCAAGTGCGTTCTACAAAAAGTTTCTGAATGCTTACACACTGAATACCGTTTAATTAATAATACTAAGAGACCAAATTGGACTGCAAATATTGTTATACATAATTCAAAATGTTTTCTAAATCATCTTTCCCCTCTACTTATACCATCATCAGCTTATAAATTTAGCTTGAGAAATTCATCTATCTTTAAATCTAAAATTTCAGTTGTGTTTTCATAAAGAATGCCAAGAGGGACCCCGAAAATAATTGACCTTAATATATTCTTTAACTTTACAAATTAGAACAAAAACCCTAGAATAAACAATGAAATAGAAAGTTCAATTAACCAATTTTTCTACTTGAATTTTTCTCAAGGCAAATAAACAATATGAAATATGAAAATGAAAAGCCTCAGGAATTGTCCAACTAATGGATATGTTTTCATTAAATTTTCAGTGTGGCTTGTGTCCTTTGGCATATTATTATCAGAATCCCGCATGGACACACATTATTACGTGGCAAGTATGAAATACAATTTAAGAATCACATCCTGGCCTTCGAGAGCGGCTCCATAATCGTTTGTGGCCATAATTAATTGCTGTGGCTTTCCACATTTTTTTTTATCACACTCGCTGCTGTCTGTGCAACATGCCCGCAAACTTTTCGTAATGAATTTTAAGTGTATGCCAGATTTTTTGCACCACTTTGCCCCGGTGGCAGTGTCTGTGTGGATCTGTCTGCCCGATTGTCTGCCCGTCAGTCTTGGCACCGCTCCACATACACACCAAGACCCCTCAACTTTATGGTGTTAATGAACTTTCCGGGCCAAGTTGGGTTAAAAAAGTGTTGGCTGTACTCATTACTTGGACGGCGGAGGCAGCGCATTTAAAGAAATTCAGCTTGAATGCGAGACTGTTTCAATAAAAGTAGGTGGAATGGGCTGTGTGGATGCCACCATCAATTCAATGCGCACCATTTAACGCTCAAATTCCAGGGACTCGGCCTCCACCTGTGCGCGTAATTCCATCCGGAGTCGCCCGAGGAAAAGGAATCCCCCCGAAGAATTATGGACAGTGCAATAAATCACTGGAGCATCCCCCACACACACACATTCATATTCTCTCGTACAGTGAACACTCACCGTCGAAGGCCGCATTGATGTCCCGGATGTCGTAGCTGCAAACTGCCGACCCAATCAGACCATTCGTATTCGTTGTGAAAGTGGCATAGAACTTGGTATCGTCCGTTGGCATCTTGTAGACCGACTGTATCTCGTTGAAGTAGAAGGGGAATTCGCTGGAGATGCTGCAGTTCATCCGCGCCTTTAAATAGGTCGCCCAATTCTGGCTGATCATGTACTTTCCACCTCTATCGTTTTTGCAAACTCGAGCTACTCTGGAGTAAACCGCCTTTCCACAGTTTATGTACTCCACGGCGTGTTCGCGGAAGAAGAAGTACACAAACTCTCCAATTTCAAAGGAGCCAACAAAGTTGGGTTCTAGAAAGGGAAATAAATTGATTCAATTTTTAGTAATTTTAATTTAATCTTGTAAGTTTTAAAAAGAGTTGAAAATTTTTAAGTAATATTTTAAGAACTTTTTGTGACCATCGCTAAACTTTTTGAAGAAGTTACCAAACATTGTAACTAAGTTTATATAGTCATTAAATTTACCATAATAATACTTTACTTTATAGATACTTTATCTTAGATACATAATTAATTTAAAGTAAATACAAATGCTTTAACTAATCTTTTGTTTTTGCAATTTAGTTTTAAACATAACTATTACATTTAAGATTTGTTGAAAATAAAACATATTCAGGAAAACATCTTAAGGGATGCTTAAAATAATAACTTCCACCAATTTATTAGTTATTATTTTTTTTAGGAATTAGAATGAGCGTTATTGCTACAACTTACTGTCCAACAGCTTGGAATCGTATTTCACGGTTCTCTTGAAGTTGGCCTCCTTGCGTCCATTCGTCAGGTTGTAGAGGTCCGAGCGGAATATGACGGAGTCCGCCTTGGTGAATTCTGCATTCGTGCCGGCGTACTGCATTTTTTGGTTGGCAACAGGATGAAAAGACACAGACATTGTTAGCAAAAGGGCAACTGTTGATAAGGCCCGAACATCACGCATACGCCCAGTAAGCCAAGGCACGCACGCACACAATTACGCATAAAGTGTACGCACGTGCCCCCTTTTCTTTTGTGAGCTTGTCTGTGTGTGCGTGTCTGTGTGTGCGTGTGTCTGTGTGTGCATGTCTGTATACGTGTGTGTGTGTGCGTATGCCTTGCTCTAATTTAATTTCAGCTGCTTTATTGCTGCCTTTCTATGTTTTTGCTGCCTTTAAAATATTCTTGCCCCATCCCAAACACAACTTTGCCAACTTCCTTCTTCTTGCCCCGCTTTACTTTTGTAATTTTATTACAATTGACATTTTTCTTTTTATTTGCGCCTTCCTTTATCCTTACTTTTATTCTACTTCCGCTTTCGGGTCGAACTTACCAGGGCGGGCAGGCCGAAGGGATTTCCGTTCTCCACATAGACGGCGGTTGAGTTGTCAGCGGGATCGTAGGGACACTTGCCAATGCCCAGACCGACGCCGGGCACGTACTGGGATCTGGGTAAATGTGTTAAGTTTGCCTGGGGGTGGATGTGGGCCATTAGGTGCGCGAGGGTTAAGGAAAGAGAGCAGAGCGAAAAGCACATTAGTTGACTTTAATTTTGGTCGCCCGCTGGGCCGAAATGAACTTCTAAAACTTGACTGACATTCACAATTAGGCACATTGATGAAGTCGCTGAAAAATCCATTTATTTCTACATAGAAAAAAAAGGATTTTTGTTGAATATTTAGGCAGATATTTTAAAGAGAAAATATTTATAGCGGAGAAGCCACAGAAATCTCTAGATATTTTATAAATAAATTTGAGAAAGATTCAATTAAAGTCAAATTATTATTTAAAACAAAATAAATTCTTAAAATATCAAATATCTAATGAATATTAAATGATGCTTTTATATAAAAATCATTTTAACAATTACGCTTTTTAAAGTCTTCTGATTTGCCAAAGATTCCTTAAGTAAATGTCAATCATATTTTTTATTTGTTTTTTCTCTGTGCACTTACATTTATTACGTAATCCTTGGGATTGTGGGCGTTGGTTCCGCAAACGTATAGCTTCTGGCCATTGAAGTTCATCGGCTGAATAACCCTTATGTGATTGCGGCATTCCACCTTCTTGTCAAGCGCCAGAAAATGCAATTGCATTTGATTTGTTTTTTTTTTTTGTGTAATTGTAACAAACGTTAGAAAACAATAGTCGTAAGGAAATCATACGGCGGTTTGGGTGGTTTTTGTGGTTTTCAAAATGCAAATGGAAATTGGAAAATGGGCGAGGCCGTGAGTTCACAAATTCGTTTATATTGATAGAAAATTTTGCACATGCTATGGAATGGTTTTAATGGTTACAATTAAGCCAGACTCACCTCGCGTTTGCCCTTGGACACACAATTCAGGATATCCGATCCGGTGGGCTCCAATATGAGGACATCGCGCTGAAAGAATGACAAATGGCATTGGGTTTAAATTTATGTTAGCCAAGTTTATTGAAAGCGTGCTGGAATGCCATCGCCAACCAAGGATGTTCAACCGAGAGCACGCGCCAGCATTTTTGGTATACTCGCATGTCGCGCTTTTATTTTGTTTTGTATTCGGTATGTGGCTCACGTTGGACATTTGTTTATTTAATTCGATTCGTCTTTCTTTTTTTTTGGGCGGCACTTGAATTGAAAAGGAATCTCCTTTCGGTGTTTGTCTTGCTGCAAATACTTCTGCCTAAGTGAAAGCCACAAATCAATGGAGGGGTAGCAAAAGCCATCGACTGACAATTTTTATGCTTGACATATAGACACAATATCCGGTGCCTCTGTGGATGCACTTTCCACTTTTATTTCCACTTGCCCGAAGTGTCAGTCCCTTTGGCCGGGCTCTAAGTGCTGCAACTCGACTTGAAATGGAATTCCTTTTGGCCGCCGCCCGCACAGAAGTCAGCACAAATAATTGCTGTTAAAAGCATTTGCTACGTCTCAGGAGGTGGCGATAGTGCACTGGGCTGCAGCTTACAAGGACGAAAAAAAACTGGCGGAAAATGGTTGAACGGACAGAGGCGGATATTGATAGTTGAAGATGGAATCATTAAAGAGCAATTGCGAGCTGTCAGTGACAAGTTGCTCACCCAGAAATGCAAAGGGTGGCTCTTTAAGCATTCATTTCTTCATCGATTTTAATATCGAAATGTGGACCGGATGTGCCATAAATATGAAAATAGCCTTTATGTGGAGTAATATATTCCTGTTTATAGATCCATTAATAAATATTCATATTTAAGGGTGCCACAAAAGTCATAGCGGTTTGGAAACCATTTAGAAAGGTGCCTACAAATATGTAACAATATATTTTGAATAAGAAAGTCCACCAGATTCATTCCCTAAACAACGTTAATTTATTTTTAGCACTTTATATGCATAAGTAATATAAAAACAATAGGATTTTCTGTGCCTACTTTTTTGAACTTTTTATAATGCTTTTATAATAAGCACTTCTCTTTTAAAACTTCTTTAAATGTTGTGAACTCTTAGTTTGTGGTGGTCTGATGAATAGTTAAAGCTACCCAATAAATATAAATTCCCATATCTTACCTCACAAATCGATTGGCTGATGTTGCGCAGATTGAGCCGAAATATGCGATCCCTGTAAGACAAAAAGGGCAAAGAAATGAATTAGCATGGTAAAGAGGAAAACTTTGTCATCCCCTGGCACTCGAGTTAATCCCCGACTCGTGCCCCCTCATGCGATAAGTTAATGCCACACCAGTTGCCAGCTGTCTGGCCCCGGTAAACTTGGGCTCATTGACATTTTTTCTGCTCTTTCTCTGGGTTGAAAAATCGTTGTCAGGGACGCACACACCTGCTGTGCACTGTCGGGACTGCCTGCCTGCCTGCGTACTTATTGCAGTCAGTGTGCCCTGATTGATTGATATGTCGAATGTGGCAATATTGCCAGCCAGACACAACTTTAAGCGGTGCCTGGCAGGCCATCTCTCGCCATTTTCCGGCCACTCGAAACTTTTGCGGCGCCACGGAAAACAAAAGGAAAACGCAAAGGGGCAGCGGCGGTCTAAAGTGTGTTTTATGTAGTTGCTGGCAGAGTTTTTGGTAGCTTTCCCTCGACAACTGCGAGACCATTAATCTTCATTTCCCTGCCGGTTCTAGGAGCCCGCCAATGGCAATCGCTGACGAGAGCCGCCAGCTGTGGTTGCGTGGGGTCGTCGGTGGTTCGGTGGTTCGTGGGTTCTCTCGGCGGCTCTCGAGTCAAGTGGTAATTTTGGTTACTTTGTTTGCCCGCTTTTAGGCATCCCTGCCCCTCCCTAATTTTCCATGGCTTCCTTCCCCCAGCCACAAAACCGTGTTCAACTTGCCGCAGACAAATGAGCAGACGGGTGCGCTCCTTGTCAAATTGCAGGCACCCATACTTTGCCCCTCGTCGGTGGCATTAATTCATAATTATGTATGCCGACAGTGTGGCCAAGACCCCTGGAAAAATGAAATATGCAGCCCCAAATGCGTTTGGCTTGCCAAGTAGGGAGCCACATGCTGTCTCAGGCGGAACTTTCTAATTGTCTGCAACCGGAAAAGAAAGTTTCCCAAAATTATAGCAGATTTTTCTACATTAAAAGGGTTTTATTAAGCCCTAAATATTTATTGCAGCCAACTAACAACTATTTATATTAATAGTTAATTGACTAGTTTCAAGGTAAATGTTTCCCAACTAAGAGATACAAAACTTAGTTTGAATTGGGGAATAGTTTGTAGTTTAATAAATGTTTTATAGTATTTGGGGGATGGCTACAAAAAGCTCTTGGGTTTTGTAATCACTTATAAAAGTGTCCTTAAATATAAAGCATTATTTATTCCGAGATTTGACGTTGTTTTCCTCCTGCATATTTTAAAGTTTAAGTCCTAATGAATAATTCTAGTTCTAAAAGGGAATATAGTTTCTCCACTCAACTAATGACTTAATGACTCAATTTTAAATTCCCCATAAATACAAAAAATGAACTTACATGGCGCCCACATAAAGGGCATTATTGTGCTCATCCGTATAGAACGTCTTGTAGTGCAGCGGCCCGCAACTGAAGTCCTTCACATGATCTGCAATATGATGAAAAGGAAGACAATATTAAGTATACGCACCGTTTACATTGATTAACAAAAGTTTAGGCAGTTAATTAAAGCCTAATGAAACTGTCAGCAGCAGTTAGCAGGGTCAAAAAACGAAATGAACTAATTAAACTATTATAATTTCGGCTCAGCAAACACAAAGTTAATTTATGGGGGGCCAGTGTAAATACAACACAGCATAAGGACAGGCTCTTCTCGTCCATGTCCTTGCACATTTGACACTGACAGTGTCACGTACTTTCCCCAGTGATGTCACGTGCCCAAAGCCCAACTCCAGACCCCAAAAACACAAGTCGAAAAAGTTGCACCGCTGTCAATGTCATTAACAAAAGATTGAGGCATTTAGCTGAAATTTTTACGACATTAAGTTGTCAACTAATTTGGCACAATTAGTGAAACAACAAGAACACAGTGTGCACACAAACAAACACAAGGACACACATACACGCGGGCACAAAGGAAAGGACAGTGGGCAAGGACAACTTTTTATTTTTTTGGGCCAAAGCCCAAAGCAAATCCTTTGATGGCCGCGCTAAAAGTCATTTGTGCTGACTTGGCCAGCTCCTTTGTCCTTTGCTCGCTGGTCATTGACAACCCTAATGGCAGGACAACAACAATAGCAGTTACAAAAGTGATTTCCATAATAATGCATAATGAGTGATAGATGCGGAACTGTTTGTGACCTCATGCAAATTAGCCCCCATTTCGACAGAGGCTCTTTTAGCCCAATTTTCCCGAAATTTTCAGGAGTTTTATTTGACTTGTTTTTAAATGCAAATTATTCCATTTGTTGTAATGGTTTCGCTATCGAGATTATCTTGAATTCTAATTGCAAATTGTCCGAAATTTTCCTTTCTATTCCAGTATGTAGACCCTTTCTAAATATTTATAATAAATTTAATTCGTAATGATTAATAAAATACCAAAAGTTAAAATCTTTAAAGCCAAAAGAGGCTATGAACCCAATATCATTTTATCTTTTATTTAAATTATAGTTGTTTTTACTTAAGATGAATTTCTTTAAAATATTGAATTGTGGTTTCACACGTCAGACACCCAATCCTCAGACACACCAATCAAATTCTAAGAGCCATCCGAATTTAATTAAAAGGTGTGCTGCCTCAACACATGACACAATCCGTATTCCATTAGAGTTGGTTCTTTCCGGAAAGTCTAACAAGGTAAGTAGATCTGCAAATGATGGTATAGCTATGTATATTGATTATGGAACTCAATAGTTTCTGGGCTTTACGTTGGAAGAACGTCAGCGTTTGGGCATTCATGGTTTAATGCCGGCCTGTATTCGTTCAGATGATGAACAGATGTTGGCCATCGAATCGAACTTTTTTTCATTTTCCGAAAACGTCGCCAGATATCGATATTTGAGGGCCTTGCGACAGAGCTACGAAAAGCTGTACTTCAAATTCGTCGCTCAAAATGTTAAGTTGGTGCTGCCCATTATCTATACGCCCACGGTGGGCGTGGCTTGCACTGTATATGGAATGCTGTACCGTGGAGTTACTGGCATACATATCACCAAACACGATCGAGGGCATATGAAGCAGGTGCTGTTGAACTGGCCGAATCGGAGCAGAACTCAAGCCATCTGTGTGACCGATGGCGAACGTATCCTGGGATTGGGCGATCTGGGTGCCAATGGCATGGGCATAGCCGTGGGTAAAATGGAGCTATACACAGCCTTGGCCGGGATTCCACCCAGTAGACTTATGCCAGTTTGCCTGGATGTGGGCACAAATAACAAATCCCTGCACGAGGATCCCTTGTACATTGGACTGCGCGATGAGCGATTGAAGGGCGATGAGTATGTGTCCTTCGTGGACGAGTTCATGGAGACCGTGGTGGAGACCTTCGGCAATCAGACCTTGATCCACTTCGAGGACTTTGCCACGCCCAACGCCTTTATGTTTCTGAGTAGATATCAGAAGTGTTATTGCCACTTCAACGACGACATCCAGGGAACAGCAGCTGTGGGCTTGGGCGGATTGCTGGGCATCCAGCGGATCACCAAGAAGGCACTGGGGGAGCACGTCATCCTTTTCGCCGGAGCTGGCAGTGCTGTCATGGGCATCTTGTATCTGCTCAAGAAGGAACTAGTGAGCAGGGGCCTCACCCAAGATGAGGCCGCCAAAAACATATACATTTATGACCAAAGTGGTCTCTTAACCAAGAATAGTAAGAAAATACAGGAGAATTTATCCATATACGCCAAAGATATGAAGCCCATCAAGTCATTGGAGAAACTAGTGGACAAAGTCAAGCCTTCGATTTTGATAGGTGCCACCTCAGCAGCAGGACTTTTCACAGAGAAAATAATACGAAGTATGGCGGCGAATCATGAGCGACCCGGAATCTTCGCCTTTTCCAATCCCACCTCCAAATCCGAGTGTACCGCCGAACAGGCCTATCAATTTTCAGATGTAAGCCTTCTAGTTTGGGGTAATAAATAGGTTTTCATTTGGATACTTTTCAGGGAAAGGCTATCTTTTCGGCTGGTTCCCCTTTTCCGCCAGTGGAGTTCAATGGCAAACGACTCACTCCCGGCCAGGCCAACAACTGCTTCGCCTTTCCCGGAATAGTTTTGGGCACCATGACAGTTTTGGCAGAGCAAATGCCCAACGAGGTCTTCCTCCTGGCAGCCCATGAGCTGTCCAAGATTCCCACCGAAGAGGATTTACAAGGAGGACGCATCTATCCACCGGTGGAGAGCGCCAATGAAGTGGCCCTCAAAATTGGTGTAGAAGTAGCCAAGTATTTGATAGAAAACGGTAGGAACATAGCACAAAAATCTAAAATTAATTTAGCTAAGGCACAATTTCTCAATTTCATGTTAAGATTATATATATATAATATATATATGTATATTTATAATAGAGAAAGTTAATATGAAGACAAATTAATGGGAAATATATACATAGATATATATAGCATTTTAACTTAACATGTTTTTGAAAAATCGTTCCTTAATTAACTAAGTTAGCAAATAAAATTCAGAAAAATATTCTAACTTAAGTAGACTACATCTCTGATAACCTTTGATTTTTATAAACTTAAAAGGTTTAGCTAAACGGGCTTTAGATCCGGATGAAGTTCACGATCATATTGCAAAGAATTCCTATGCACTGGAATATGGCAGTGCACTGGCCGAGACTTGGAGTTATCCAAAGATGAAGCCGAATCCAAGTACGGCGGCCCTTCACAAGGAACTTCAAAAGAAAAAGTAGGCGTTATCAGTTGGAAAATATTAATTGTCGTTAGTTGGTGATCGATCTCAAAATTTCCAAATGGAAAAATAACATATCAAAATTATTGGACAACAAGCATAATAGCCATGGACTTCCGCCGTCTGCATCCTTTGTTCCGTTCCTTTTCCCGTCCACTTTTGGGTTTCTGCAGATGGATCAACATCTATGACGACGAAATGGCTCAAATAGCGCGACCCGACTGGCATCTTATGCTGGATGGAAGGTTTAATAAGGTGGGTATAGGGATCCTATGAAATGGGCATCCGGAGTAATAATCATTTATTTTAGGGCCTAGCTTTCACCATTGAGGAGCGGCAACGACTGGGAATCATGGGATTGATGCCCTGCTCCGTCCGCACCATTGAAGATCAGATGGAGGCGGCCAGGGCGAATTTCGATGCCAGGCCCTCGGATATCAGTCGGTTCACCTATCTGAGTGCCGTCCACAATCGCCACCAACGACTGTACTTTAAATTTGTGAGGGAGAATATCGAAAAGGCACTGCCCATTGTTTATACCCCAACGGTGGGCGATGTGGTGGCCACCTACGGATTGAATTTCCAGCAAGCGACCAGTCTGTTCATCAGCATCCACGACAAGGGTCACATCCGGGATCTGATGCACAATTGGATCGATGAGGGTGTGACCGCCATCTGTGTGACGGATGGTGGAAGGGTCCTGGGCCTGGGCGACATGGGTGCCAATGCCATGGGCATTAGTCTGGGCAAAATGATCCTGTACACGGCGCTGGGCGGGATTCCACCCACCGCATTGATGCCCGTTTGCCTGGATGTGGGAACCAACAACCAGGCGCTACTCGATGATCCCCTCTATGTGGGCGCACGTATACCCAGGGTTAAGGGTCCCGAGTACGAGGAACTGGTTGATGAGTTCATGGATACAGCGGTTAAGTGCTTTGGGCACACCACCTTCATCCACTTCGAGGACTTTGCCACGCCGAATGCTTTGAAGTTCTTGGATAAGTATCAGTATAAGTACTGCTGCTTCAACGATGACATCCAGGGAACGGGAGCCACAGGATTGGCTGCATTTATCAATGTGGAACGGATCACGGGTCTGAAACTGGAGGATACCGTATTCGTTTTTGTGGGAGCTGGAAGTGCCGCTCTGGGTATTGCCAATATGTTGATGATCGAACTGGAGGAAAGGGGGATTCCGCCCGAGGAGGCCACCAAGAATGTCTATTTGTTCGATGCGAATGGTTTGGTCACCTGCGAGAGCACCGATGTGCCGGATCAAGGCAAACGATATATTAAACCCATGGAGCCAATCAAGGAGCTCAATGCCGTGCTGGAGAAGCTAAAGCCATCCGTACTTGTGGGTGCCACTGGAGTGGGGGGAATATTTAACGAGCAAATACTGAAAACCATGGCCAAAAATCATGAGCGTCCTGCCGTTTTTGCCCTCTCAAATCCCACCACCAACTCGGAATGCACCGCCGAACAGGCCTACACACACACTGAGGTTAGTTTTGGTATACTACTATATTATTTTGACACTATATTGTATCTACCTTAAAGGGTCGTGTTCTTTTTGGTTCCGGATCTCCATTTCCGCCCGTGGTGATCAACGGAAAACGCTTTACGCCCGCCCAGGCCAACAACTGTTTGACTTTTCCGGGAATCGCATTGGCCGCCATCTGTGCCAAGGCCAAATATCTGCCCAATTCGGTGTTCTCCGTGGTGTCGCACGAACTGGCCAAGAACACCACCCAGGAGCAACTGGATGCAGGCACCCTGTTTCCGGCCATCAAAGATGCCCACGAGGTGGCCTTCAACGTGGGCGTGGCCATGGCTCAATATTTATTTGATAATGGTAAGTAATTTTAAATAAAATTGGTAGTTGCTGTTTCACCCAAAAAAAAAAGGACACATATAAAGGTGTCTAAAGGAATGCCACAATTTATTTTGAACACGAAGTTCCAATTATTTTACACTATTATTTTTCACTCTTAGACAGTTTTCTTATGAATATTCAAATACCTTGTTAACTTCTCCCCCTTTTCTTTATATTTTCAGATCTTTCGAATATATATCCCAAGCCCGATAATGTTTGTGAGTTCATAAAGGCATCTCTGTACAATTTGGACTATCGCAACTCTATGCCAACCACTTGGCCTTATCCCAAGGAGCCGCCCAGACCTAAGGCAAAGCCACTTCCAAAGGCAAAGGAGGATGAGGCCAAGAAGTAAACTTGGAAGAAGACTGCTGACCTGCATTTTCCAGCTGACAAAAAGAAAAAAAAGAAAAGAGCCTTGTGTAATTAGTTGCAAGTACAGGCATTCGCAGGACCAAATACACACAAACTTCCACGATAAATGCCCGACATTTTAACGTTATTATTGTCCTGTCTACGGGAAGCCAGTTGACATGCTCGTGCGCCTGTGTGTGTGTGTGTGTGTGTGTGTATATCCTGCTGATTTGCATATAAAATGGGACGAAATGTCTGCTCACCAAAAATGTCAATCAATTTCTTTGCCCTCCTTTTTTTTTATTTTTTCTTCGTTTTTTTTTTTAGAGGAGAAGAGAAGAAAGAGGCGAGAGGACGTGCATGCATTAAAAAGCAATTGGTGTTAAAAGAGCAGTCAGGCGGCAGTCGCACGTTGTCTGCCTGTCTATCAGTTTGGCATTGGCATGTGCCCCCGCCCTCCGGCCCCTCGATTTTCCCTACGAGAAGAGCTTTTCCTTCGCCGCTTTCCCCGCTTTCCCCGCCCAAAGAAGCCCCGACAAAACTGGAAGCAACAGAAATGCGAAATCATTTCCCTCGACTGACAGCTGTCAAAATATTTGCTCTCTGTCGATGGCTGCGTGGCTTCTGCCGCTGCGTGTGTCCTTGTCCTCTGTAAATTTCATTTTAATATTCATTACTTCACACTTAAAACCCCATGGTGACCACATTCGGATCTTTAATCGATGGCGGGATAGGGGAAAACTTAAAGGGCCGTCGGCCAAGAACAGATCTTGAGGCTCCAGTCGCTTTCGTTACGGTTAGCCTGGCTTATGGAATTTAATTGGCCATAAAAATGTATGCGGCTTGTTGAACGTGGCAAGCTGTAGCCGTAAATCGTAAATTTCCCTCCTTTTCCTGGGGGGTGGGAGGTGGTTTTCCGCATCGATTTACGCCCCACGATAAGGCTCTAAATTTAAATGCCAGCGGCAAAGGTTAAGGGTTTTTTTTTGGTCTGCTCTGGGCTAAAGATTATATGATGCGTCAGCATATAAATTATAGGCCAGATAAACCAGATAAAAGGGAGCTAAACAAAGTCAGTACTCCAGCAGTCGCAGGGAAACTTAAGGTTGTTTTTATGTTTTATGTTTTATAAGCACGTTTTACTTGAAAATAAAAGTTTTTTTCCAAGACAGTTAGTCTGAAATGGCAATGAATTATTGTGCCATAATACTTTGGCCCTAAGTTGGGCATAAATAAATATTGAAAGCTTAACATTTAAGCAACAAGTTAAATATTAATATATGAAATATGGTTCAAACAGTAATCCAATATTTGCTTCGGCTTTTGTTAAGTGCACTATTGAATCATTTACTTTGTAGTATTTTCCCTTACAGTTAATTGCCATGCTGATATTTGAATTGTTTCTGCCTTAAACCTCAGTGTTATCTATCTGGCCAAACTTAAGCCGCAAATGGGTCAAAGTCGAGACCAAAAGTTGGGGGCCAAAGCTCACTTGACTGTGCTCAGTCGATAAGTAGCCCCAATAAACAGAAAAGTCTACTCAGCTTGGCCTCTGTTGCTGTTCGCCGACCGCTACTTCATCTTTTTGAAGATTTTCATTTATCTGCTGGCCAAGATAAAACAGCCAGGCAGGCAGGCAGGCCAAAAAAAAAAATAAAATAAAAGAAGCAAAAGAAAGCAAAACGAAAGAAAGCGGCACTTAAATCCATTTAAGCGAATTTTTCAAGCATTAAATTTGCGTTTACGTTACGTATACTTAACTTCCAATGGCAACGGCATTTGCGGATGGAAATGGTGGGGAGGATGCTGGCTGAGTTGGAGGTGGAAAAAAGAAAAGTCTGAGGCTGGCAGCAGGTAAATGAAAAATTTGCCTCCTTTTTCGTGGTGGCACGGGGTCCAAATGTATTTTGCATCATTTGTCTTAGCCAGGCCAAGGATCTCTTTCCCTATCTTTAACTCCCACACACACACACACACACACACACACACACACACACACACACACACACACACACACACACACAGATACAGAAAACACCTGCCTTCGCATATGGTCACAGTTTTCGGTCCGACTTTTGTTTCACACTCCCCATATGAAAATGGTGGTTTTCTTTTCGCCTCACCCCCTCCCCCCACAGTCAACAGTTTTGTTTGGCTGCGACTTCCATTGTTGTGTTTTGCGGCCATGTAAATGCCCTGCCACGCCCCCAACACCCTACCCCCCGCCCCCGTATGTTGCTGTTGTTATTGTGAAGCATTTTTTCTTATCTCCACTTTGCATGCCGCACAGTGCTTTCCCTTCGGTTTCCTTTCTTTTTTCCAGACGAACTGAGTCAGCACTTAATTTTTATTTGATTCTGTCTCAGTTGCGTTGCGGTTGCTTGACTTGACTTCACTTTACTTCACTTCACCGTAGATTGAAGCCGAGTGCCAGGCAGTGCGTAATTTTTTATGGCGTTAATTTAACAATGATTGGCTTCTCAACAGCCAAAGGAAACCGAACCTGTACTGCTATGTCAGTTTTTATTAAGACAAATGAAATGAAACATTCCTCGAGTTTCATTTTAAGTTGAAGAGACAGGGACAAAAAAGAGAATATTTCAAAATGAGAAAAAAACACTCTGTTGTATATAAATAAATATTTTGAAAACCCATACAGAATTTCCAGCTATGTAGATTTGAAATGGAAATTCAGCGAAACAATCATCAGGAAATAAACAAAATTTTGTCCGTGTGCATTTGGTAGTTTTGCGGATCCAGGAAGGTAAAGCCATGGGTCTTGGCCATACATCAAGCTTATCTCGCTCCCTGCAACAGAAACTGTCGCACAAATCTCGAAGCCATTTGCCAATGTCCTGAACCACCTGCATACTCCTTACATATAAATATGTGTTCGATATTTAACAGCTTCCAGTCGAATGCGCCTGGCAAAAGGACAAGCCACTCGTCGGTGGAAAAGGAGATGCCGGAGTTGGCAGAATTGGCGATGCAGACGAGACATATGTATGCAAAGTGAACTGCGGCTGATGTTGGCCAGGCTTAAATTTGGCTCTGGCTTTAGGGCAAGTTTGCTCACGGGCCAACTACAAATAGCAGTGGCACCGGGAGAAAATGTGAAGGAAATTGGGTAAATTGTAATAATTAGCATTCTATAAAAAAGTTTAATTTGTCATTTTAACAGAGTAAGAAAACATATTACATTTTTTATTAAATTTAGGCTGTTCCCTTTTTAACGAAAAAAGAAATATATGTTTAGTTTAAGACGAGAGAATTGCTAGAACTAAATTATTTTCAGTCTGTTGAGTGTATCGATTTTCTAAAGCAAAAGGTTTATAATATTATATGGTGTATTAACTTGCCAATTCTGACAGAACCTTATTTAGAACTAATACCATTTATGTAACTAACAGTATTAATTGAATATTATTATAGTTTTTTGCTGTGTGTGCCGTAAAAATCCAATAAGGTAAACGGCAAACAGCCTGCGATGGCAGTGTGTGTATTTGTGTAAGCACCTGGCATTTGTGTTGAGCACGTTCGTACCTTATGTGGGATTTAGTTTAGACTTCATTTTACTGGGCTGCGCTTTTGGTTTCATTCCGTGTGTCTCACACTGGCCCTTCTTTATGCCAGTTTATGATGGCAGAGCCGTAAAAAAGAGAGAAAGAAATTGGGAAGCGCGCGGAGAAAGCTGGAGGAGAGCGGAGAAAGCGCGCGGCGACGACACACAGGAGTGTATAGTAAAAATAAAGCCATAGACATGGCTGGCACCGGCACTTGAGTCCCCTGCAGGCTCACCAGGACCCTCAGTCGCTCCTATATATGTCCTGTAAAGCTAGACAATGCTGTAATCTAGAAACACAAACGTGCAATTCCCTGCTCACTGTAAATGTGGAGTACATAGATAGGTGTGTGTGTGTGTGTTTACTTGCACATCCTCGACACGAAATGGCGTGGGAATATATTACAAGTTGGTTTACAAGGGAAGTATGTCAGTGGCTGGCCGGGAAAAACTTAAAGCACACAACGAGCCACAATTTTTAAGGGCAAATCCCCGAGAGATACCCGCTTGAATCCGTAACTGGTCAAAAATTGAGGCAACATAATTCAGCGGATGAGTTTTACGACTTCATCGGAAGCTGGATGTTGCAACTGCACCAGCGAGAGGAAACATTAGCAAGTCTAGACACCTACGTCATGCGTCAGCAGCAGCAGGAAAAGCCGAAAAAAGGACGTGCAGCAGTAGCAGCAGTAGCAGAAGGATATGTACTCGAACGAAAGGAGCCGGAAAACTGAGAAAACTGGGAAAAAATGAGACGTCAAGCAGACGATGAAGTCGACGTGGTCTGACAGCCAGCCAGACAGCCAGCGAACTCCCGAAAGAAAAGGAGCAGAGTAGAGTAGAGCAGAGCAGAGCAGAAACAGGACGAAGACCAGGACCACCAGGAGCATTTGAACCTCTTGGCTTGCTTAATATGCTGAAAAATACGCGTCTCGACTTACTGCTGCCCGAATTTTCATCGCCCTTTTCGCCCCCAGCTTTCCACTTGGAATGCATTTCCTAGTTTTACATTTCCATTTCAATGTAACGACACATGTATTTGCGGTAAAAGCTTAGGGGCAAACTAGAGAGGAAGAAACGTGGCAAGTGGGTGGGCCAACATTTCCCTGGAATTCATCAAGCGATCTGCGCTTTGAAGCGTTTTTAATTACAGAGCATAATTGGAATTCGATATCTAACTGCGTGGGGGTCACCACCTGAAATTACAACAATTCCGTAGCCACACCCCATAGTTCGTGGTTCGAGTGTGTGGCGAACTTTCCAGCAGTATGATAAAAATTTTCCAATTACCAATTTTACATATTTCAAAGCGCCCGCATAAATATTTATGGCGAAAATTTATGAAAACTAAACGTGAGAGCTACACGATGGCAAAGTGGGTGCACAGTATTCGCATCTAAGTGCACTGAAAAACAAAACTAAGTGGAAAGCATTAAGCAAATTATTTTAATTAAATTCAATTCTTAAGGCTCTAATATGTTGATAAGTTTGCTCTGCAGCTCTGTAGTTTCTGAATAAAAGAATTATCATTTAAATACTTATTTCCAGGAATTTGAAAATATATTT